TTCCAATATCCTTCGCTGAAATCCAGAATAAGGACAAATATCAGCCTCAGCTTCTCTCTTTCACTTTTAAACATCTGTTGATCTTCAAACTTTAAATTGAAAGTCAGGCCGAGAACTAAATTCTTCAATAATCTTCAGCAATTTAGTGAATTCTTTGGTTGATACAGGGTTACCCACCAAGGATGATACTTAAACGCCGTGCAGAATATTCTTGATTTTTTCTAAAATTTGTCGTTCTCCTTAACTGTAAACTTGATTCTTTCTTTACCAATTCATGCAATATAACATAAAAATACTATATTCAAGTCAGAAACTAAAGTTCAACCGTAAATTGCTTTATTTAAAGGTTTTTAGGTCGTTAAAGTCTCATCCTTTGTGGGAAACCATGTAATTCACTTATCAACGGGTGTTTGACATTTTCACAGAACTCATTATATTGGTGTACGCGGAAACGTATTTGATATTTCATGAGAGATTCTTCTTATTTTATTTGTTGCTCCTCTCCCGTTCCATTATCTCTCTTTCTCTCTTTCTCCATGGGTCTCAATATACTTGAAGATTTAATATTTTCTGGATACTTGGTCTCAAAGACATCCTATACAAGCCTCTATTATCCGGGAAATTGACAGAACTGAGAAGGGAGTAGAGCGGAAGGATTGGAGAGTGATAGGCAAGGGGGGCTAATGAAAATAACTGGGTTTAGTTTGGTGATACGACATTATTTGAGTACCTAGCATGATGTTCTCCTCCTCCTCCTCCCTCCCCCCCCTATCTCCTAGGTTTTACTCAAGGTTGGCGAGAAAGCTAGGGAGTCAGAGAGTAACGTTAATTCTCATTTTCACGCACAGGTGTCTCTGTCATCTACGTTTAAATCTAGAATTAATGAAGACATCTTCTATCTAGTTTCTAAAACTTGTTAATCGAATTTAACTTAAATAAATATAGATTAGCTGTTTGAATTTTTACTTTTTTTTGTTTAATCAGGATAAATCAGTTCAGCTTAAGTTTTCAACTCTATAAATACAATAAAGCACACTTTTCTGGCCATGCAGGCATACTCTAAGGTTTAGATTCCTCTGCTCCTGGGATAGAGTGGAGGAGGAAGAACCTAGTAGTCTTGACATGGAATTGGCTACACCTATATCCTAACCCAGACAGGATAGGCTAAATTCGAACCTTCCCCAGGTTCTAATATTTGATCCTGCTTGTTTGAGCAGGAATAATCTTTATTTATGGTATTCAGTTTCCAATCTTTATTCCTCTTCTACAATTGTTAGTTCCCAATTAATTTTTTTTATCTCCCCTAACTTTTGTATCTTAAACCCGTGTCTTCAGCTCTCAGTTAAAGGCCCCTTTTCTTTTGTACGGTTCAAATTTATACAGAAATAATTTCTTAATTATGTCTTCGTGACTTTCAGGTTAATCTTAAGAATTGAAATTAAATCGATTTCAATTTAAACGTTTACACTACTACAATTCAGTCCCTGAAGCTAAGCTTAAGCGCTATTAAAAGAAAAGGTTTTCTGTCAGATGAAATGCTAAAAGATATAAATATTATATATTGTGCGTATCCCGGGTTATATTTTTATCTTTTAAATCTCATTATATCGGAAAATCGATATATCACGTGACAAAACCAGGGTCGTCCATTGGCCAGAACTAGAAATCACGTGACCTTAATATAGGTTTGCATTGGAAGCCGGTCAGTGTAATAACCTGTCTCTACCTGTCTCTAAGTAGTGTACACAATGGTAATAACACATTTTAGTTATAGTTAAGAAATATTAGTGAGCAAACAGTATTTTTAAATTGTTTTTGTGTTTGTTTGAGTACATACACTATAAAAACTCTACACAGGTAGATTTTAAGTAAATTATATTATTATTGAAGAGTTTCTGCATAACTATTAATTTAACAGAAGTTGTTATTCTTAAATTTTACAGGTTTAAATTTAAAGTTTTAAAGTTGAATTTAAGGGAAAATATGTTTGCACAAACTTGAAATCTGTATTCAACTAAAATGCTTTCTATTTTGCTGTAGACCATGATACAATGGTACCCTCCTATCAGGCCTAGCAATTTGATCTAAGAATTATATGTAGCTTAAAATAGGTTTGGTTACTGGTTAGGTTAGAGTATATGTTGGTGAGATAGAGTCACTTAATGCCGTAATATTGTGTGTCGAATAAAAACTACTCGATATTTTCATGAAAACTAATCGATATTTCATGAAAACTACTCAATAATTTTATAAAAAAATACTCGATATTTCATAAAAACTACTCGATATTTTCATAAAAACTACTCAATATTTTCATGAAAACTATTTGATATTTTCATAAAAACTACTTGACAATTTGTTCGAATATCGTTTAGGGTGTGTTTGTTTCATAGGATCTATGTAATACTTTGTTGACCTTTTATTCGAGAAAATTTTATTCTAACAATATTTTTCTTTAGAAAACCTTCTCAATCCTTTTCAGAAAACTATATTTACACTATTCCATTACAATTGTTTTATGACTTTGGAAATTTAATACATTTTTCACTTAATCAAACAATAATATGATTTATGCAATTTAGTGAACTGTAATATTTCACTCAGTAGCTCGACTTAATCCGCAGTCATTATCGATTTAATATAATAAACGATTGTGTAAACTTACGTCACAGAAGGTGGTTGGATAAAAAACATTGAAGAAGGATTAGTATTAGCCTTATACATCTGGCAATATGAGAGAAGTTTCTAGGTTCAGGATTTATAAATGTGTATTGGAAATTCTCAATTTAGATTTTATTGTTTGTTTATTCCTTGAACCTGTTTACAGCTCTCTAAACAACATTTCAAATCCTTTTTATTGGCCCACTGTCAGAACAGATTATATCCAAGGAATATACACAGAGGATAGATAATATAATGGTTTATATCCAAGAAATATACACAGAGGATAGATAATATAATGGTTTATATCCAAGGAAAATACAGAGGATATATAATATTATGTTCTATATCCAAGTAATATACACAGAGGATAGATAATATAATGGTTTATATCCAAGAAATATACACAGAGGATAGATAATATAATGGTTTATATCCAAGGAATATGCACAGAGGATAGATAATATAATTTTTTATATCCAAGAAATATACACAGAGGATAGATAATATAATGGTTTATATCCAAGGAATATTCACAGAGGATAGATAATATAATGGTTTATATCCAAGAAATATAAACAGAGGATAGATAATATAATTGTTCATATCCAAGAAATATACACAGAGGATAGATAATATAATGGTTTATATCCAAGAAATATTCACAGAGGATAGATAATATAATGGTTTATATTCAAGAAATATATACAGAGGATAGATAATATAATGGTTTATATACAGGAAATATACACAGAGGATAGATAATATAATGGTTTATATCCAAGGAAAATACAGAGGATAGATAATATAATTGTTTATATCCAAGGAATATATACAGAGGATAGATAATATAATTGTTTATATCCAAGGAATATATACAGAGGATAGATAATATAATGGTTTATATCCAAGAAATATACACAGAGGATAGATAATATAATGGTTTATATCCAAGGAATATACACAGATGATAGATAATATAATGGTTTATATCCAAGGAATAAACACAGAGGATAGATAATATAATGGTTTATATCCAAGGAATATACACAGAGGATATATAATATTATGTTTTATATCCAAGGAATATGCACAGAGGATAGATAATACAATGGTTTATATCCAAGAAATATAAACAGAGGATAGATAATATAATTGTTTATATCCAAGGAATATATACATCTGATCTGGTCTCTAGGGTTTGATCTAACCTCTTGGGTTTGATCTGGTCTCTAGGTTTGATCTAATATCAAGGGTTTGATCTTGTGTCTTGGGTTTGATCTAATATCTAGGGTTTGATCTAATATCTAGGGTTTGATCTAATATCTAGGGTTTGATCTGGTGTCTTGGGTTTGATCTAGTATCTAGGGTTTGATCTAATATCTAGGGTTTGATCTGGTCTCTAGGTTTGATCTAATATCAAGGGTTTGATCTAATATCTATAGTTTGATCTGGTATCTAGGTTTGATTTAATATCAAGAGTTTGATCTGGTCTCTAGGTTTGATCTAATATCTAGGCTTTGATCTGGTGTCTTGGGTTTGATCTAATATCAAGGGTTTGATCTGGTCTCTAGGTTTGATCTAACATCTAGGGTTTGATCTGGTGTCTTGGGTATCATCAGGGATATGCAGCAATGATATATAATTCACAATCCATATTGATTTTATTTATCAATGTTTAGAGAGAGAGAATGTAAATAAAGAAAATATGGGATACACCATCCCGAAGGTTCCAGTTTTATAGATTTCTTCTTCCTTTGGCTATATGTAAATGTAGAATTAATACCCCCCCTCCTCTTTTCCTCTTTTCGGATTCTGGTCAAAATAGCTTCCGAATGCAAATGAAATGATCAGACTGGTAATTTAACAAGCTAGTTCAAATATGCTCTCTAGTAAAGCTTGTAAATTTACTAGCTAGTAAATGTACTTATATAGCTAGAAAATTAACTAGCCGTGCATGAACTATCTAAAAAAATCAACTAGCTGTATAAACTAACTGGCAGAATCTACAAGCTAATAAATGAAACTGAGCTAGTAAATGAAAAATCCAAAAAATCAGATAGCTAAATACTGAGCTAGATGGGCAACTCAATGATAAATAAGCTAGCTATAGTATTTAAACTAACAAGTAATATATATTATTGTACAGCTTGTGAATGAACTATCTGGTATATGAACTAGCTACATGGTCAGCTAGCCAATAAGTTAAATAGCTGCGTTTGTGACTAGCTACCAAACTAGTCTAACATATTCGATATTCTTGAAAGCACTTGTATTAGCACCAACAATGGTCTACTGAGTGCAGTTTATTGTTTGTCAATAAATGCATTTTATTTCAGATGCTTGGTGAGAGGATAGCTTGATAGATAGATAGATAGATACATGGCACTTACAAGGTAAGGGAACTCAAATCTGAAAAATCCTGGCCAAAAGCCATTTTTAATATTTGAAAAGTATTTTCATGCTGCTGCATCCGACTTGGAAAGGTTTAATTTGACTTGTTGAATCCACTGTTTTCTATCTTAATCTATCTTTATTTTAATTGAAGAAAAGATTATTTCCGAATTTTAAAATTTTTTTCTATTTTTGTGTTGACGGCGGACATTTATCAACAAGTTAATGTGCGGTTGGTTTAGAGGACTTTTCTTGTTTCAAGAATTCTATATTGTTGATTGATAATAATTTCCTATCGTTGGTTGATTTCATTTTCCTACTGTGGGTTTATTACATATTGTTATCGCTTTTTGAATTCGCAATCATTTGTTGATTTCATTGCTGGTTTCTTACATTTTCCTACCGTTGGTTGATTTTATTTTGGCATTGTTGACTTGACTGCAATTTCTTTTCGTTGGTTGATTACATTTTCCGATTTTCCTACCATTGGTTGATTTTAGTTTGGCATTGTTGACTTGATTGCAATTTCTTTTTCGTTGGTTTTCAGATTTTCCTATTATTGGTTGATTTTATGTTGCCATCGTTAATTGATTACAATGTTTTTCATTGGTTGATTACATTTTCCTTCCGTCGCGTTGGTTGATTATTTTTTCTATTCTTGATAGTGTAATCTGATTAATGTTTGAGATTATAACGATTGTTGAACAAAATAGATAAAATATTACGTTTTTAATGTTAAAGGGTCACTAAAATTCCTTTAATATTATTAAAAATGTATTGAGAAACCATATTCAATGTAAGTACTGTAATAAATATATCATTTAATATATTAATAAAAATATGATTATATAGGTTCACTAATAATATTCTACTTTATTAGATGCTTTATACTTTGTATATTCAATACACTAATAAATGAGTGTTTTGCCACGAATCTAAACGATTAATATGATGATTATTCACTCTGGTTTTATAATATTATATTTATGTATCGAATAAAGATGGTTTTATAATATTATATTTATGTATCGAATAAAGATGGTTTTATAATATTATATTTATGTATCGAATAAAGATGGTTTTATAATATTATATTTATGTATCGAATAAAGATGGTTTTATAATATTATATTTATGTATCGAATAAAGATGGGGGGGATAATAAACACACATTTAGATTCGTCACTAATTTCTTTTTGATCAATTTCAAATCCTTTCAAATAAAAACGGTTTATTCTCATTTAATATGATTATATAAGATTACATTTCATATCTGATCATTTTTTTTATTAAACATTAATTCATTATATATCATTTCAATTTAGTTGAAATTTGATTTTTATTGATTCCTTGTAATTTTATTCTTTTTCTTCAAACAAAAATTTGGAACAAATTGGAAATGGAAAACCCTCTGCCTTAATCCTAATATTGGGAAACCATGGTCCTTAATCCTAATATTGGGAAACCATGGTCCTTAATCTTAATATTGGGAAACCATGGCCCTGAATCCTAAAATTGGGAAACCATGGCCCTGAATCCTAATATTGGGAAACCATGTTCCTTAATCCTAATATTGGGAAACCATGTTTCTTAATCCTAATATTGGGAAACCATGGTCCTTAATCCTAATTTTGGGAAACCATGTTTCTTAATACTAATATTGGGAAATCATGTTTCTTAATCCTAATATTGGGAAACCATGTTTCTTAATCATAATATTGGGAAACCATGTTCCTTAATCATAATATTGGGAAACCATGTTTCTTAATCCTAATATTGGGAAACCATGCTCCTTAATCCTAATATTGGGAAACCATGGTCCTTAATCCTAATATTGGGAAATCATGTTTCTTAATCCTAATATTGGGAAACCATGTTCCTTAATCCTAATATTGGGAAGCCATGGTCCCTAATCGTAATATTGGGAAGCCATGGTTCTCTATCCTATGCTATAAATATTAATAGCTAAGTTGAACCTAATGTTTACTTTTGGGGTGTGGACTCCACTATATTTACCAGGAGCAATGAAATCAATAATAATCAACAATATTGTACTTTTTACAGAGAAATGTTAAGTGTTGACATAATATACTGGGTTACCCACAAAGAATGAAATTTCATAGACGATTGTACGGTTTTTTTTCAAACATTCTGGGTTATCTAGAGCTATAAAATTGTTTATTTTTTTGAAAATTTATCAAATGTATCATTCAAAAACTATAATCAAGGAAGAAGAACAAATTTCAGGTCTTTGGATCATTTTAAATATTTAGTTTTAGGTCGTCATTAAAATATCATCCTTGGTGTGAAACACAAATCTTTTTACATTTGTTTCATTCCAACAATTCAATCCTTTTTTAATTTGATTTCAATTTAGAAAATATAAGATTAAGTATTACCCTTCAATTCAACCCTTTAACTCCACCAGTTCTAATTATCTCGCTTTTATTATCTTTCCCTTTCCCAGTTCTAATTTTGGTATTATAATCTTTTTTAACCAGTTCTAATCTAGGTTTAATCATGTTTCCCTTTCCCAGTTCTAATTTTGGTATTATAATCTTTTTTAACCTAAGTTTTATCATGTTTCCCTTTAACTGCACAAGCTCTAATCTAGGTTTTATCATGTTTCCCTTTAACTCCACCAGCTCTAATCTAGGTTTTATCATGTTTCCCTTTAACTCAGTTCTAATCTAGGTATTATCATGTTTCCCTTCCACTCCACCAGCTCTAATCTAGGTTTTATCATGTTTCCCTTTAACTCAGATCTAAGCTAGGTTTTATCATGTTTCCCTTTAACTCCACCAGTTCTAAGCTAGGTTTTGATAAATGCCTTGTCAGAAGAAATCTTACCTCTCTTCACGACGCGAGCTAAAATAAAAGCATAAGTTAGGAATATATAAACACAAGGATGGATGATGTGAATAATAAAACTAAAGCACGATATTATTTACAATTTTTTTCGAGAAAAACAGTTAGTTGAAGATGGAGGATGGGGGGGGGGTGATTTAACATTTCATTAATGGAATAAACTAATGAATTCTAAATTATTCATGATTACTCGAAGTTGAAACTACTTAAATTAAATCTTAATCATCTATAATCTTTCTTACTTCTGATATGTAACCCGTTTTGGACATGTTGTCCAACCAAATTTTATATTAACACAAACATAATAGATTTTATCGAGCCTTAATCTATTCTATCGCTCAAACCTTCAAAACCTTAACCTACTCCTCTACTCCAACCTTTCCAACCTTAACATACTGTACTCCAACCTAACCAACATTAACATACTCCTCTACTCCAACCTATACATCCTTAACATACTCCTCTACTCCAACCTATACATCCTTAACATACTCCTCTACTTAATTCTACTTACGCAACCTTAACCAGCTATACCATTCCAACCTATCCAACCATAACCTACTTCTCTACTCCAACCTATCCATCCGTAACCTACTCCTCTATTCCAACCTATCCAACCTTAACCTACTCATCCACTACAACCTACCCAGCCTTAACCTACTCTAGTACTCCATCCCTACCCAGCCATTACCTACTCCACTAGTCCAACCTCGCGAACTTCTTCGAAGTTTGCTGCGGCGGGGATCCTCTACTCCAAGCTATCCAACCTTAACCTACTCCTCTACTCCAACCTTTCCAACCTTAACCTACTCCTCTACTCCAACCTATCTAACCTTAACTTACTTCTCTACTCCAACCTATCCAACCTTAAACTACTCCTCTACTCTAACCTATCCAACCTTAACCTACTCCTCTACTCCAACCTTTCCAACCTTAACCTACTCCTTTACTCCAACCTTTCCAACCTTAACCTACTCCTCTACTCCAACATATCCAACCTTAAACTACACCTCTACTCCAACATATCCAACGTTAACCTACTTCTCTACTCCAACATATCCAACGTTAACCTACTCCTCTACTCCAACATATCCAACGTTAACCTACCTAAATACTCAACGTTTTTACTCGTGTTCTGAGTTAAGTTTAGATTAAAGTGAGTTTTATCAATATTGTGGCCAGTTTGTGTATACAGCCCTCACTTTTCAACTTCATGCAGTTTTCACTGCATTCGGCCTCTTTTATTCAGTTTGTTCCCATGCATAATTTACATACAGAAACTTACAGTAAATACTTATGCATACATGAACTAACAAAAGATTGCAAATGGACATAATTCACATACAGAAAGGTATTGAGTCTTTGTCACAAACTATGATTTTCTAATCTCTATATCTTTGTAATCCAATGCCGTAGGCCTTAGATATTTCAAACTAAAATTCTGTTAGATGAAAAAATCTAAGTTTGAAATATCAAAGGCTTACACCATTAGGTGGAAAAAATATAGGTATTAGAAAATCAGAGTTTGTTACAAAGACTCAATTCCTTTGTAGTAAATACTTATGCATACATGAATGTAATTCGATTTTTAACCTTTGTCTCTAACACCTGATTGCAAACTTCAAGGATTATAAAAGGATTATAAAAGGATTATAAAAGGATTATAAAGGATTGTAAAAGGATTATAAATGGATTATAAAAGGATTATAAAAGGATAAGGGTTTGCCACGAAGAAATAAATAGTTTAGATCAAAGGAAATTGAAATGTCCAAACAAAAACTATAATAGAGCAAACATTGACGATCTGGCATTAACAGCGGAGTTTTTGGAAACACCTTGTATATATGAATATTACTTAATAATGAATCGTTATTAAACATCTTGAAAAGTCAATTGATGAGAAAAGATACAACCCTAATCTATCTATCTATCTCCTTGTTTCATTTTTCAAAAATATTTTCAAGTTTCAAACTTTTGATAAAAAGATAGGAATCCCTCGGGAAATTTTTACTTGGAGAGAATCTCCCGTTTCCTGAAACCACTCTCAACTCTGCTAATTCAACTTGTACCGGAGAAGGTTGTTGATACAGTTTTTGATAGGTTTCTATGTTTGTCGGAACAATTGTCTCAACAC